ATTCCAGAGGGTTGGATTAATCAAAGAGAGACCCAACCTACAACTAAGGAGAAATTTCCTGACAGAACAATTAATCAGGGGAACAGCTTGTCTTCAGAAGTTGTGGGTCCTCCATCACTGGAGGCTTTTAAGAAGAGATTGTCCAGAATGATATGGGGTCTTTGGCATAAGCAGGAGGTTGGACTAGAAGACCTCCAAGGTACCTTCCAACTCTGTTATTCTGTGTCTGGTTGAATGTTAGGAAAACCACCACAACAGAGAAGAAGCTTGACAGTGGGACCAACGACTGCACAAGGATTCAGGTTTTCATCCATAGAGATGTTCAAGCAGAGGCTTGAGAGTTGTCTGTCAGGAATGCTTTTAATTTAGATTTCTGCCCAAGGTATGGGGTTGGATATCATAGTCCCAGTGGCCTTTTCCAGTTGCAATTTTTTGTCAACCTGTTCGTTGTGATTGCAATCTGCCCTATAGCTACTTCTTTCTGATACATCTCACGCTCCCTGTCTGTTTTTTTCTCTGTAGCAAGACGGATTCTGGATCTACTCTGAGTACTGTAATAACCACTTGGATGCATGCATGGAGCTTTCCAAACTAATGAAAGACGGCAGATACCAGCACTTCTTCGAAGCTTGCCGTCTCTTGCAGCAGATGATTGACATTGCCATAGATGGTTTCCTGTTGACCCCTGTCCAGAAGATCTGCAAGTATCCTCTGCAGCTTGCAGAACTGCTCAAGTACACTGCACAGGATCACAGGTAGGTGTGTGTAGGAGGTGGGGTTGGATTCAGGGCTGGGAGGAGCAGCAAAGCAGGGAGATCTTCTGGGACTGTTGGAGATGGATCCTTTTAGTTTAAGCCATTTCTTTCCAAAACATGACTCTGGGATTTTCATTGCTAAGCATGAGCTACTACCATAAAATAGAATTGGAATGGAAAGACAAATGACAGTCAACATCCACAATAGAGAAAGTGTTTGTAGGCATGGACTACGCCAGTAGTTCTTGACCTGTGTCTGTTTGGTCAGCAACTATTCAAAGTTATGATGGTGCTGAGCGAATGGTGGGTGATTAATTTATATAATATATAATTCAGAATTTTGAATTATATTCAAAATTCAGCCTCCATTTGGGTAGGTAGTTGTTTGTGAGCAGAGAAATCTCCCCTCAGAGAAATCAGCAGGTGAGTCTCTTGTTTTCCCACCCACTAGCAATCATTTTTCTCTTCTGGCCATCTAAATTTACTCTATAAGATGCCATCTGGGTGGAAAGCCAGACTTCTGGTCCTTGAAACAAGGAGTTAGCATGGCACTGGTTGGCCCAGAGCCTCGTTCTCCCATGAAATCATTAAGGAAAAGCTACGGTTCCCCTCCAGTGAACCGTTCCATAGGATTAATCCATCGGCCCCAGCAATCGTCCCTGCCCATTTCTCATCTGCCGTCGGGCTTCTGTCTGCAAAACCTTATTTTGTTAATGAGTGGATGGTAAGGGAGGGGAAAGCAGGGAGAGGGATACAGCTCCATTCATAAGCGACCTCTAAAAATTAAAAAGAAAACTTAAAGTGAGGGGATGCAACCGGGACAGGGAGCATAACTGAAAAGAGGGATGCTGAAAGCAGAGGTTGTCTTCCTTAGTAGAAGACCCTACCCAATGTAGGATGGGAGATGGCTTGGTTTACGAAAGGCAGTTGTTGGGCGGTGTGTCTGTGTGCGTTTGTGTGTGAGAGAGAGAAAGAGAGAGAGAGAGAGAGCGCTGAAGATCAGCTGATTAGATTGTCCTCTGTTCTTTGCCCCAATCGGCAGTCCGGGCTGACTGGAACAGCTTCCCTCGAAAAGTTGTGGGAGCTCCATCACTGGAGACTGGACAGCCACTTGTCTGGAATGGAATAGAGTCTCCTGCTTAAGCAAGCAGTTGGACTAGAAGAGCTCCAAGCAGGGGTGAAATGCTACTATTCAGGCTGGTTCGTCCAAACCGGTAGTAAAAAATGCTACCGTTTGCCCGAACTGCTAGTAAAAAAATGCTTAACAAAGTAAAAAAAAGGTTCTGACGACCAGCTGTGCTGCGCGATGGTAGGAACTTTTTTTAAAGCATTTGGGGTCCATTTTTGCTCCCAGGAGGCTTCCCTGAGACCTGCTAGGCGAAAAACAGGTGGTGGGTGCGAAGGAAGGAAGGAAGGAAGGAAGGAAGGAAGGAAGGAAGGAAGGAAGGAAGGAAGGNTCTCTATCGTCTATCATTTGTCTGTCTGTCTGTCTCAAGCCATTTTTTCAGTTGAATGGTCATTAAACAAAGGGTTATAAGTCGAGGACTATCTGTTCTGGAGAAATGGGATGGTTCTCTTGGCCAGGCTCCAGCATTTTTGCCTCAATGTAATCTTCATCCTGCAGATTTTTCCATAGCTCAAAGTTGTCTTCAGTTGTTATCAGCCTGCTTTAAGGCTCAGTGGATGGTGGGCTGCTCCACAATAAAGCTGCTATCCAGCTGAACTGAAAGTTCAGGTTTGAAGATGCTCCTAGATCTGCCACAGCAGATGAATCTCATTGGGCGCTGCAGCACCTGTTGCTCAGCCTGTCACCATGCCAAGGATCAGCCAAAAGAACACTGAGAGCTCTTTCTCTCTCTCCTTGGAAAAAGGAGCCTCTCTGCCTGTCAGTGCAGATTTGCCCAAATCAGGCAGGGCAGATAGTTTACTTGTCATTTATGGACACTTTTCTTTTCCAGGATGGCAATTTTATCTTTCTTGGGTTTTTTGTTCGTTTTGTTTTGCTGGCTGGCTGGCCAACAGCCAAGGAGTCTCTCCAGTTATTCTTCAGTCATGTTTTCTGGTTCTCTGATTCACCTGAGCACCTGATATTGAGCATAGCTAGCCAATTCATAGTGCATTTTGATAGGTTTTCTTTTTTTAATGGATATTTAGATTCACCTGTCATCAGCCTTCTATCCCTAGTTGGACATTCAGACAAGAGAAGGTTAGTAGTCCTGGAGCAAAATTTATACTTCTATATTAGATTCCAGGAGAAGCCCACAGAGTTTGCATACAATTTATTCCATACATACAAAATTTGATGGCTTGCTATCCTTAGAGTCACCTGAATTCAGAGTTTATACAGATAAGGACACAGGGGCTGCCACAAAGAAGAGAGAGTCCAGCTATTCTCCAGAGCACCTGAAGGCAGGACAAGAAGCAATGGATGAAATTCCCTGACAGAACAATAAACCAGAGGAACGACTTGTCTCCAGAGGTTGTGGATGTTCCATAACTGGAGGCTTTTAAGAAGAGATTGTACAGCCATTTGTCTGAAATTGTATAGGGTCTCCTGCTTGAGCAGGGGGTTGAACTAGAAGACCTCCTTTCCAACTCTCTTATTCTGGTTGAAAATGGCCTCTACAGCTCTCAGAAAGCTAAGGTCCAACTCTCAGTGCTAACAACCAGATGACTGCAAATAATATAAACCCTTCCATTCCCCACTATCAGTTAGAACTGAAGAAGCTTCCTGGGTGAGAAGAGAAATGCTTTCAAAAAGAAAAAGAAAAAAAACCAAGAAAATCCAATTGTCTTTTGGAACAGCACCTCAGGACAACCATGTTGGAGAATCTCTTGATGACAGTTGATTAACAGTGTTCAGTTGTGGGTCCCACACTTTCAGACTTAGTCTGAACTGAATCTAGCTGAACTAGAAACAGGGCCCTTGGAGGAAAGAGTGTGGGATCTGAGTGTGGAAGGCTATTATGACAGCATTCTTGGGTTACTGAAAGTGTTAAGCAAAAAACCTCTTCTGTCCCTCATTAAATGCAGGCTATGCCATCACCTTCTGACATTCCAGAGGGTTGGATTAATCAAAGAGAGACCCAACCTACAACTAAGGAGAAATTTCCTGACAGAACAATTAATCAGGGGAACAGCTTGTCTTCAGAAGTTGTGGGTCCTCCATCACTGGAGG